ATACAACTGTAACATGACCTGCCAACTCTTGTACTCAATACCCCGTCTGATGAATGAAAGCATGCCGTATGCCTTCTTGACCACTCTATCGACCTGCGTTGCCACCTTCGGGGTACAATGGACCTGAACACCCAGATCTCTCTGTGCATCAATTTTCCCCCAGGGCTTTATGTATATGATATGAGCTATGTTAACATAACTAAAGATTAGCTACTCCCTAGCATGAGCCATGTCTCAAAGACAGACAGTATTATAAGAGAGATGAAGTACACATGGAGCAAGCCTCTTATTGCATAAGTCTGGCCTATAGTACTGTTAGCCTGTTGTCTGTCAATAATTTAAAAGGTATTCCCTAAGAAGGTACTGAATTAGCTAAAGAGGAGAGAGTAGTGACGTTCGGTCATTTATCCCACCAGGAGAAGTAAATAGTACTGTCACCCTGGGGTCAGTATTAGAACCAAAAACAGAAACTGCTGGAGAATCCCAGCAGGTCTGGCAGCATCTGTGGAGTGAGAAACAGTTAATGTAGTTCTAAAGAAGAATCATATGGGGTTTGAAACGTTAACTTTGTTTCTCTCTCTTCAGATACTACTAGACCTGCGAAGGTTCTCCAGCATTTTGTTTGTTTCCAGCATCTGCAGTGTTTTGGTTTCATTAGAAGCTCTTTGTCCTGTCCTTTACCTATTCTGCAAAAGCAACAAATTACTGTGTGCCTCCATCTGAAGGAGGCGAATTCAATAATCAATGACCCACGGAAAGCAAAGTATGGGCAGATAGATCTACCTGAAAAAGGACTTTGTGAGATTTGCTGCATTCTCATGATTTGATCAATGGTAACATGGTCTTTGTTTTAATTTTCTTCCAATGTAATCATAATAAATAATCTTTTGCAGAGTTCAATAACTCCATTGGTGATCTTATGGGTTCGGATGAAGATTCTGGCAACGAAGAAATCCTTGACATGGATTACAGTGAGGCTGAGGCTGAGGAATTAAAAAGAAATGCAGAGGTGAGGTGTGAGAGCAGATGTGAAGTGTGTAGTTGGGGAGCTGTGACCAACAGCAACGCAAATCTTTCCATTAGAAAATTCAGCATTGCCCAATGACATGGAAGGTGCAGTGCCAAATTGGTGTGGGGGTCAAGATCCTCATCTTCCTCTTCACCTGACCCCTCCATTCACCCTGAGCCTGTGGGATTGGGAAGTAAGCTGTGTTTCTGTCAAGCTGCCTAACTTGCAGCATAGGCCTGGATTGTGCAATCAGTCTGGGCAGAGTTGCTGCAGACAGTGGCTAAAACTCACGGGCATTCTGTTTTGGAATAGAACGTTTTACAGCAGAGAGGAGGTCGTGTCCGTGACGGTTTTCTGCAGGATTATTTGAGGCTGCTGCCTCACTCCTGCCCTCTCCCGTGGCCCTACAGTTTTTTCTCTTCAGATAATGATCCACATCTCATTTGAAAGCCATAATTGAATCTACCCTCACATTCTCAGGCAGCGTATTCCCAATCTAACCACTCTCGAATGTTTTTCTCATATTGGCTTTGGTTTTTTTGTATTGACTTATCATGGTGTTTGCACAGGTATCTGTTGACACATTTTACTGACTGGGTTTCTGTTCTTGCAGACAGGTGAACTTGCACATTCTTATCGGCTAATCAGTGTTGTCAGCCACATTGGCAGCTCCTCCTCTTCTGGTAGGTACCAGATATTCTTTTTAAAAACAAATTGTTCTTTCATGTGATATGGGTATCACTGGCTAGATCAGGAATTATTGTCTATCCTTAGTTACTCCAGTGCTTTAACCACCACAGTCCACCTGGTAAGTATAGCCACAATGTTGCAAGGGAGGGAGTTCCAGGACTTAGACCCAGTGACACTGAAGCAACAGTGGTATATTTCCCTGTCAGGATCGTGAGTGTCTTGGAAGGGAGCATGTGGACAGTGGAGTCCCTGTGCATCTGCTGCCCTTTGTCTTTGTATCTGGAAAAAATCTGATTTGCAACCAGATTAAATGGTATGCCTGAACCAATTCTGGTGTAATAAAATATAACCTGAGATTTGAGGATGGTGTGGATTTGTAACTGTAATGTATTTTGCGTTAGTTGTAAAAGCAGAGGAGGCTACAGATTCCTGTAGAAGCGTCTTTGGGTAAAATTAAGACATGACTAGTAAACTAGAGGCCCTAGCTAAAGTTCTGGGAACATTAAAGTTCCAGTCTCATCAGTAGTGGCCGTGGACCATCCTGGTGTGGCCTATGTGTGACCCCAGGCCCACAGCAATCTAAGTGACTCTTGACTGCCCTCTGTAGCTTCTCCACACGGGCTGGGTACCTTTTGGAATTCTCATCTGCCATGGATAGCCAGTGAGTGTGTATATCAAGACTAGAATGTTAGATTCTCGGATACTCAATTGAGAGATTGGAGAATGGGAATGATCTTTGGATTGAAGTTAAAGAATGGGCTGTGATGTTATTGAATGGAGGGACAGGTTTGAGGGGCTAAATAGTCAACAGCTTCTTTCTTGTACAGCAGGTTGATTACTCGACTTTTTATTTTGTGAAGGGCACTACATTAGCGATGTGTATGATATAAAGAAGCAGACCTGGTTGACATACAATGATCTGGAGGTATCCAAGACAATGGAGGGTACTGTGCAGTCGGATCGAGACAAGAGCGGCTACATCTTTTTCTATATGCACAAGTAAGGACTGGATGAGTCTGACCCCTTTATCTCATCCTCATGATCTCAACTCTACACCTGTAAATCTGGCTGATGGCCTCTGCTCTTTTTTTTTTGCTGTACAGCATAATGTTGGACTTTATTCCTTGGTGACTTGGCCACTTGATTAGCTTAGTTTGAAAGTCAACGCTGACTTGAATCCACAGGATCTGCAGAGTTATCTGATCTAAGGAGGGACCGTGATTGTATAAAAACCGAAAGAACTGCAGATGCTGTAAATCAGGAACAAAAATAGAAATTGCTGGAAAAGCTCAGCAGGTCTGGCAGCATCTGTGGAGAGAATTCAGAGTTAATGTTTCCGGTCGAGTGACCCTTCCTGAGAACGTTTTGAGGAAGGGTCACTTGACTCGAAATGTTAACTCTGATTTCTCACTGGTTGGATATTCTAGCTTAGGTAAAAGGAAATCAGACATGTATTCCCCGTCAATTATTGAAGGATGTATGGCTTTAATAAATTGCTTTGACTTCCATGCCATTGTTATAGTTGACTTCCTTCTCAATCCCACCGCCTGATTCTATGCCTGTTCATGCAGTAACTCGCTCCCTCCACTTCACCCCAATCCATTACTGTTCATTGCACTAAACATCCACCACCCTGAACCTGTCACTACTGTAACTCCCTGTCCACATCCCCCTTGTTATTGGAGAATCCTCTTACCCCAATCCCATACCTGTCACTGCAGCAGCTCCCTATCCTGATCCTATACTTGTGGCCACTGAATGATGATAAATATTTGCATATTTCCTGCCAACTTGACCCTGAGAGAGAGCAGTGTTGGCAGAGAACAATAACAATGCTAGGTAGGGGCTCCTGCGTTGCCCTGAGATGCCTGGTGTGTTTGTCTGTAGTGCAAGTTGGAGGCAGTTTCTGTAAGAGACCCCTTTACTCATGTATGACACTAGCCCGGGGACAGCTCTGTTACTAACCTTTTTTTTGTTCTACTTTGCCACATAGAGAGATACTGGAAGAGTTGGCGGAGGAGGAGGAGAAGTGCTCACAACCAATGGGTTTGGACTCCAGCAGGCCTGTGTTGCAACCTCTGTGACGATGCATGGACTTTAATGTGGGAGCTAGTTCTGCTAGCAGTATACTACCAGGGACTGAATGTCACTTACAACTAGTCCTGGGATAAATACCTCCTAAAATAGTGATAGATCTTCGCCAGGCTGCAGTGATCCTGGGCCTTCACTTGTTTGGTTTTTGAAGCCAGGAAATGGTGCTGAAGGTCGACACTCCAAGTTGATAGTGCGATGAACTCATTCCTAACATAGCCAGATGCCCGAGAAGATTACAGGAGTCCTGGACAAGTACAGGTGTCAATCTGTCACTATTTCCAAAGATTTTCAAGGAATTCAAGTTGAAATTGTATCACGAGACTGTTTTGAAGTAAGGGTTTGTTTTTTTTTTTAAACAGGAGAAAAATATAATATATGATTCTAAAGTTGCTGTTCTTACCCCGAAGAGGTTTGTGTGTGCCAACTGAAAAGGGAGAGTGGACCCTGACCCAAGTCTCCCTGTGACACTCTCACCTTAGGCTTAAAGAGGGTTAGGTTTGGTTTTTGTTTAGTTATAAAATGTGAGTTTTTTTTTTGATGGTCTCATGTAAGCAGTTTCTGTGGCATCACTGTTCCATCAGAAACCCCCCACAGTAAGCACTACTCGTACTATTAAGATCCATCCCCCCAGCTAGTCTCTCCTGCCTTACTTATAAAGTGGCCGTGCTTTTCGGAAAGCTCACAGCTCCACAGAGAGCCCTGAGAGAGGTTTCCCTGAGACAATGGCGAACTCCCTAATTTCAAGGCTGTGTTAAGTTGTAGCAGTATCAGTTGCACTGGAATTGAATTCTTGGTCCAAACACACACCAGGTCAAGTCCTTACCTGATCTGAGACTATTCCTGAGTGAAAAAGCTTTCTTTTTTTAAAAAAAAAAAAGTTGTGTTTTGCGGCTGTTGGGAAGTTGTTTTGGTTGCTGGTAACTTGCTGCCTCACTTTGTCAGGCTGAGATAAGCCTACATTTCAGCCTCGCCATTTCACACTGCACTTTATTTTCCCCACCCCTCTGCTTCTTGAGGCTCATGCACTGGAAACAGCTCCCTCCTCCACTGTGCCTCTTCTCCCAAAGCTGCTCTCTATCCACTTACAACCAGAAACTGGGCCCCTGAATTTGCTCAGTGAGTGTGAAGGGTGGTCAAAAATAGCAACAATTCCCCATCAGTTAAGGGATTTTCTCACTGTAGGTCTAAGTTCCTTGAGATTCTGTCCTTTGCTCCTACCTGGGCGCTGGGCGCAATGTTTGTACAATTAAAGCATCAAATAAATTATTAACTTTTTGGAAATAATGCCATATCTATAGCACCTATGAGATGTTGCACTGTTGACGCTTTCTGTGGCAGAAGTACCTACCATCACCACAGTGCTCAGTGAGAGCCTCAGTCTTTGATTTTTAAACCACCTTGTGCTTTAAGTTCACAGCTGCTAAGAGACTGCTGGCTGTCTTTTTTTGGTATTAAGGGAGTGGGGGGGGGACAGTTTTTTTGCTGAGTGTAAATACTGCTAGATCTGATCTAATGGGCAGCTAAGCACACCCAGAGATGTTGGATAACATTGACCCAGACCCTGCCACTGGAGTTCCTATCAGAGGAACTTCCCTTATCACTGACAAATCTCATCATTACAGCAGGACCATGCTGGTGCTTGCTGCTCATTCTTTTGCACTCGTCAGGTTTTGCAGCCATAATTCAGTCTCCAGAATCTGGCCTGTACTCCAGTGCCCCAGGGCAGTCTTAACTATAACTATTACATACCCAGGTCGCCCTGCATAAGGGCTCTCTGTTTGAACAGTAACCAGAAAGACCCAACCTTTCAAATTGCTCTCAGTTTAAAGGAACACGGGCTTGTAAAAAGAACTGTTTTCTACTTCCTTAATAATTAATCTAGAGAATGACAAAAGGATGAAGACCTGCCAACTCCAACACCAACTCCCTGGGTGAGCCTTACACCAAGAGCTTTTGTTCATTTGGGGATCAGCAAATTCCGCTGTCCATTATTTGGATGTGCTGGTAGGTGTTTAAGTTCTCTGCCTCAACATCTTTGCTCAGTCCATTCCACAAGCATCAGGAATGGGGACTACCAGCTGTTGATGGGGTGTGGTGGTCAGTGTCACACTGTCTCAGCAGGGAAGGATTCTGATGGTCAGGCAATGGCTGTTGCTTGAGGGGTTGTTGGGAGTGTAATGCATGCTTGGTCCCTCTAGAACTCCAGTTGTTTTTGATCTTCTCCAGCTCCAGTCAGCTGAATGTTCAGTTCCCTTCCACCCCCCCGCCCCCCTCACTGTGATGCAGCCCTCCACAGTCATAGAAACACAGTTTGTGGTTATCAGACATGAAGAGCTACCAAGTCTCTGGCTTGAAAATATTTTAACAATGTACGTGATAGACAGCAGAGCCTCCACAGGTTAGTCCTCGCTTCTCCTGCTTCCCTCCCATCACTTTTGACTTGAGCATAAGTAACACCCAGTCAGAGAATTAGAGACCCTGTGCTCCCTAGCAAATGAAAGGACCTGGTGATCAGAAAGCAAATAAATCCAGGTATTACCATGCACCATTTGTTACTCAGGACCTGGATTCATGAGGCTTACTTGTAGTTTTCCTGGCCTGATCCTTAAATCCAACACTTTGGATCTGAGAGAGGGTCCTACTTAACCACAGTAGGCCACTTAGCCTTCCTCACTCTGAAAACTATTGAGTTTTGATGCTGAGTCCCAGATACAGTGGGATTAATCACTTGATAGTGAGAACTGCAAACTGCTGGTTTCTTTTAGTTTCAACACTTTGTGTCATTTCCTTAGTACTGGTCAGGCTGGTTCATTACAGGCTTCCCAATATTCCTCTACATTGCATAACCTTCATAGGTTCACACTTCTCACCATCTCTTCCTCCTTGTGCATGTTTTCCTTGCCCTCTCTACCACCTCGCTCCTCTATCTCTCTCTCTCTGGCTTGTAGTTTTGAGGCTGAATATCGAAGACTACACTCTTCTACAGAGACTGCTAATCCCAGGGAGATCCCCTTTGGTTGGTGTCTCTGTCTTCTCGTTCTTTCAGAACTTACACCACAACAAGGGACTGAGGGTTTAGCTGTATAATTCCATCACTCAGTACAGATTACTCCATTCCTACCTGTACACAGGTTTCTCTGTTCCCCTTCCTCAGGAGCTGTTTTTTGGGAAGATGCATTTGGTGAATGTTTCTCCTATTATCAGATATCCGTACCCTTAGAAATCCTCGATAAGGATATATACCATGGGAAATGGCTTCATTAGCAATCACTCATTTGCTTATGTGGATCTCTTAATTTTAAAAAAAAGACAGGATTCTCTGAAATGTTTTTTTTCTTTTAACCTATTGTGGGTTATGGTGAAAGGGTGAGTTGGGTGTAGGGGAGGGCTGAAATAGACACCCCCTCTCCCCTTCCAACTTCAACTAGATTGCAGCAGGTGTTCTGGATTTTCTGAGGCAAAGAGAAAGATTGCAAAGTCCCTGCCTCCTGTATAGGTATTTGCCTGCAGGAGCGATGCCAAATTGGTTTTTGCGAGGGCTACCTATTCTCCAGATTCACAAATGCAACAATGTCAAGGCCGACAATGCAATCCCAAGCCAAGCACAGACCGGAAGCTAAGTGAGATGGTGCCCCTCCTTGGAAACAACAGCATCTGCAGATTGCCGGGGGCAGTATGATGCAGCATCAGCTGTGGCATGTTCTAAATTCAGCGTGAGCTGCCAGCTGTTTGGATTTTCGAAGTTTGTGATGAGCTTGTTTGCTGACTGTGTTTATTTTGTTTGATTCTGGCCTGCTCTGTGGCTGGACCAATCCAGTATGACTGCTCGTATTTATATAATATATCCAGATATTTATGTACATGAATGAAATTAATTTCATGCCTGAGAAAAGTATAATTCTCACAAAGGATAGACATTTTTTGACGAAAGGGCTCTGTCTACAAAACCTGCCCCAACCTTATTTGTTAGGTACGTTTGATTTCCTTTGCTCAGAATCTATGGCATTTTTCCTTCACGTGTGACTGAGAGCAGCATCCCTGTGTTTTGAAGTGTTTTTTCTGTGTTTTAGCAGATCGGTTTTGCCTGTGATGATTGCTGCTGTCCCTGTGATTTTTTTTTTTTTAAAACACAGCTCGCGCAGAGATTGTGACAATAAAAGATGATTCTGTTCAAAAAAAAAAGTTGGTCTGCTTTAAAATTTCAGGTGAACTTGAGACAAGATTAGTAGGTATTTGTGGGAGGGATGGAACATCGTACCCTGTTTCAGAATGCTACTGCATCACCTTGGAACTCCTGCTTTACAAAGTAAGGCACCTTGATGCATTACCCAATTATGAACCACCCTTCTTGCACAGACACGGTCACTAGCAATGCATTAAGTTCCTAATCTTCTGGAGAGTTGCTGGACAAAGTCAAGGCTGAAATATCTGAAGAATCTTCAGTCAGAAGTGCCAAGTGGTTGATGCATTTGGGTCTCCTCCAGTGGTCCCCAGCATCACAGATACCAGTCTTCAGCCAATTCAATTCATTCTACATGATATCAAGAAACGGTTGGAGACACTGGATACTGCAAAGGCTACGGGCCCTGACAACATTCTGGCAATAGTACTGAAGACTTGTGCTCCAGAACTTGCTAAGCTGTTCCAGTACAGTTACAACACTGGCACCTACCTGACAATGTGGAAAATTTCCAAGGTATGTCCTCTACACAAAAGGTAGGATAAGTAGGACAAATCCAACTCCAACCCTCACCCCTCACCCCCCGCCAACTTTACTCTTTATCATCAGTAAAGTGATGGAAGGTGTCATCAACAGCGCGATCAAGCAGCACCTGCTCAGCAATAACCTGCTCGTTGATACCCAGTTTGGGTTCTGCCAGGGCCACTCAGCTCCTGACCTCATTACAGTCTTGGTTCAAACATGGACAAAAGGGCTGAATTCCAGAGGTAAGGTGAGTGCCAGCTTTTGACATCAAAGCTGTATTTGACCGAATGTGGCATCAAGGAACCCTAGCAAAACTGGAATCAATAGGTATCAGGAAGCAAACTCTCTGCTGGTTGGAATCATACCTGGCACATAGGAGGATGGTCATGGTTGTTGGAGGTCAATCATCTCAGCTCCAGGACATCTCTGCAGGAGTTCCTCAGGGTAGTGTCCTAGGCCCAACCATCTTCAACTCCTTCATCAATGATCTTCTCTCCATCATAAGGTCAGAAGTGGGGATGTTCACTGATTTCATGATGTTCAGCATCATTTGTGACTCCTCGGACACTGAAGCAGTCTAGGTCCAAATGCAACAAGATCTGCACAGTATCCATGTTTGGACTGACAAGTGGCAAGTAACACTTGTAGCATACACATGCCAGGCACTAAGCATCACCAATAAGAGACAATCTAATCACCACCCTAGGTATTCAATTGTGTTACCTTCACTGAATCCCCAACTATCAACGGCCTGGTGGTTACCATTGATCAGAAACTCAACTGGACTCCCCACATAAACACTGACTACAAGAGCCGGTCAGAGGCGAGGAATACTACATGAGTAACTCACCTCCTGAATCCCCAACACCTGTCCTCTATCTACAAGGCACAAGTCAGGAGTATGATGGTATACCCCCCACTTACTGGATGGGTGCAGCTCCATCAACACTGAAGAAGCTCGACAACATCCAGGACAATGCAGCCTACTTGATTTGGCACCACATCCACGCCCTTAACCACTGACACTCCGTAGCAGCAGTGTGTACCATCTACAAGTTGCATTGCAGAAATTCACCAAAGATCCTTAGACAGCACCATTCAAACCCGCAACTACTTCTATGTAGAAGGACAAGATACATGGGAACACCACCCCTTGCAAGTTGCCCTCCAAGCCACTCACCATCCTGACTTGGAAATATATCGCCATTCCTTCAGTTTCACTGTGTCATAACCCTTGAATTCCCACCCACCACTTTCTCGAGGGCAAGTAGGGATGGACAATAAATGCTGGCCTAGCCAGCAATGCCCACATCCCGTGAGTGAATAAACAAAAACTGCTGGACACTGGTATCGTTTCTAAAAATGTCTGTATTTAGGAGAGGACCGAAAAGTGAAGTTGGTCATTTGGTGAAAGCGCATACATGGGAATCCCTGATTTACGAACAACGAGCTTAGAGTCAAAGTTCCTTTGGTCCAATTAATCCATGTCAAATTTGTTCCCTGACTAAACAGCTCCTACCTGCCTGTTTTGGCCCATACCCTTCCAAACCTCTCCTATTCATGTACTTATCCAAATGTCTTTTAAATGCTGTAACTGTACCCATCTCCATCACTTCATCTGGCAGTTCATCGCACACACAAACCACTCTGTGTTTAAAAAAAAAAGTTGCCCCTCATGTCCATTTTAAAACTTCTTTCCTCTCCCCGTAAAAATATGATGCCTAGTTTTGAACTCGGCCACCCTAGGGAAAAGACCCTTACTTTTCACCTTATCAATGCTCCTCACGATTTTATAAATGATAAGGTCACTTCTCAATCTCCCAAACTTCAGTGGAAAAAAAAAATCCCAGCCTATTTTTTGTAACTTAAGCCTTCCAGTTCCAGCACTACCCTGATATTTTTCTGAACCCTCTCCGGTTTAATAATATCCTTCCTATAACGGGGCGACCACAACTGGACACACTACTCCGAAACAGGTCTCGCCAATGTCCTTACAACCTCAACATGACATCCCAACTCCTGTACTCAATGGACTGAGCAATGAAGGCAAGCGTGCTAAATGCTTCCTTAACCACCCTCTCTACTTGTGACGCAAATCGTAATCTCATTCAGGGGTGTAATTTTGACGATCTGACAGGCAGATAGTTCCTGTCATTTCAAACAGCTCCTTTATATTGTCCTGCGTTGTGTTCTGATGTACAAATCAACTTGCAAACAGACTCTACAATGGGGGAGATAGTAGGAACTGCAGATGCTGGAAAATCCGAGACAACAAGGTGCAGAGCTGGATGACCTAGAATGAAATCTGTTCACAAGCTGGGGCTGCCTGTAATTTACAATGAGCACTGTTACTTTGCATAAGAACTGGGAGTAGGAGTTATGGATCTTATCTCTGCCTTCAATTCCACTTTCCTGTCTGCTCCACGTAACTCTTTAATCATTAACTTTAATTATTAATTAAAATTAGTTAAAAATCTGTCTATCTCAAATGTACTCAATATCCTGGCGTCCCCTCACTCTGGGTAGTAAATTACACAGATTCACAATCTTTTAAGAGAAGAAATTCCGCCCCCGCCCATATCACTGTTCTAAATCTGCCATCACTTAGCTGAAAATGAATACCCCCTCAAGGGAAAATATCTGCTCTATGTTTACTTTGTCAATCCCCTTTATCATCTTATCTACCTCAATTAAATCTTCTCTAATTCTTCTAAACTCTAACGAGTGTTCTTGTTCTTCTCATAAAACACTTTGAGGGTAATTAGGGATGGGTATTAAAAGCCAGCAATGCCCCATCCCATACATATTAAAAAGAGAATTTCAACACTTTTATTTGGCACGTTAGGAATGTCTCAAATTACAATACAGCTGATTTTTAAATTCTTTACTGGGATGAACGTGTTGCTGGCAAGCTGTTTTGACAATCCCTAATTGCTCTTGAACTTAGTAACTTATTTGGGCCAGTGGTAGAGAAATTATTGGAGAAGATTCTTAGGGATAGGATTTACTCACATTTTAAAAAATATGGACTTATTAGTGATAGGTAGCATGACTTGTTTGGGGAAGGTTGTGTCTCATAAACCTATTTGAGCTTTCTGAAGAAGTGACAAAGATGATTGCAGGCAAAGTGGTAGCTGGTGTCCGTATGGACTTTAGCAAGGCCTTTGACAAGATCCCTCATAGCAGGCTGAAGTCAAAAGGTGAAGTCACATGAGATCTGTGGTGAGCTGGTAAGATGGATATGGAATCGGCTTAGTCATACCAGATGGAGAGTAGTGGCAGAAGGGTGTTATTGTGACTGGAGATCTGTGACCAATGGTGTTTCTAAGGGATCAGTCCCGGGACCCCTGTTGTTTGTAATATATATATAAAGTGATTTGGAGGAGAATGTAGATGGCCTGATTAAGTTTGTGGATAGTAAAGAGGATTGGCAGAGAATACAGTAGGGTATTAGATAAGCTGGAGACTCGGATGGAAAAATGGAAGATGGAATTTAACCAGACAAATGTGAGGTGATGCATTTTGGAAGGTCTAATGCAGAGGGGATGTATTATGGTAAATGTAGGAACCGTTAATAACATCAACATAAGAGGGATTTAGGCGTATAGGCCCACAGTTCTCTGAAAGTGACAACAGAAGTGGATAAGATGGTCAAGAAGGCATATGGCATGCTTGCCTTCATCGGTCAGGATACAGAGCATAAAAATTGACAAGTCGTGTTGCAGGTGGGTAGAACTTGAGTGCAACCACATTTGGAACATTGTGTACTACACACTACCAAAAGGATGTGAAGGCTTTGGAGAGAGCACAGAAAGGGTTTACCAGGATGTTGCCTGGTTTGGAGGGTGTTAGCCATGAGGAGAGATTGGACAAACTTGGTTTGTTTTCATTTGAATGTTGAAGGATGAGGGGTGAACTGATAAAGGCTTACAAAATTATGAGGGGCACGGATACTTGGTCTTTTTCCCATGCTAGAAATGTCAAACACTAGGGACATAGGTTTAAGGTAAAAGGGGGAAAGCTTAAAGGAGATGTGAAAGGCAGGTTTTTTACACAAGATGCTAAATGCTTGGAATACACTGCTAGAGGAGGTAGTAAAGTCAGGTACAAGAGTAACATTTAAGAGGCATAGAAACATAGACAATAGGAGCAGGAGGAGCCCATTTGGCCCTTCGAGCCTGCTGTGCAATTCATCAAAATCACGGCTGATGGTCCAACTCAACAGCCTAATCCTGCTTTCTCTCCATAACCTTTGTTCCCATTCGCCCCCAAGTGCTATATCTAGTCGCCTCTTGAATACATTCAATGTTTTGGCATCACCTTTTTCCTGTGGTAACAAATTCCACAGGCTCACCACTCTTTGGGTGAAGAAATGTCTCCTCATCTCCGTCCTAAATGGTCTACCCCGAATCCTCATACTGTGCCCCTGGTCCTGGACACACCACCATCGGGAACATCCTCCCTGCATCTACCCTGT